CATCATCTCTAGGCGAAGCTACACTGACAGCCAAAGCAGGCAGGGGCTGTCCCCAGGGTGGAGTACTACCACCCCTCCTCTGGTCAGTCCTAGTGGACAAACTCATTAAAAGGCTAATATCTGCAGATTTCTACTGCCTAGGGTACGCCGACGACCTGGCGATCGTTGTAAGAGGTAAGTTCGCAGGTACAATATCGGAGCGCAGACAAACCGCTCTAAAATTGTTGAAGAGTGATGCCGAGAGGAGGAATTAACAGCAAACCCTCACAAAACTACAAAAGTCAACTTTACAAAACGAAAAGTACCAACAGGACTAAAGTCACCAGTACTGAAAGGAGTGAAGATTCCATTTGCTCAAAAGGCCAAATACTTGGGAGTCATCTTTGACCACAGCTTAACATTGAATCAACACTTGCAAAAAGTCACCCAAAAGAGCACAACAACCTTCAACTTATGTCAAAGGTTGGGGACTACAACCAAAAATGTCCCTATGGTTATATACCAGAGTCATAAGCCCGATGATAACCTACGAGTCGGTGGTATGGTGGCCAAAGACTCGGCAAGCTAGAGCCATTCGACAGCTCAATGATATTTAAAGACAAACATGCTTGAGTACCACTGAAGCTATGAGAACAACTCCAACAGCAGCTATAGAAGTCATGCTAAACCTAACACCATTACATATATTCATTCAAGGCGAAGCCAGGTCTGTCACATACAGACTGCACAAAGTTTCATCAGCCATAAACAGTTTGCATGGACGTGACTACAGCGAACTATATAAAGATTTGGAGAACGACCAAATAATGGGAATGCCTTCAGATGAAATGCTCCCAAAATATAGCTTTTAAAAGCAATATAAAGTAAGTATACCAGACAGGGAAGCGTGGACGGGAGGACCTCCTATTCATGCAGAATTTACCTGGTATACAGATGGCTCCAAACCCCATGAAGGTTCAGGAGTAGGTGTATATATATAGTACCAAGCCAAAGACAAGAATCTCACTGAGCTTAGGTAATGCGATAGTATTCCAGGCAGAAATAGCAGCAATACGTCACTGCGCAAAAGAGGTATTAAGACAAGGTAAATGGAAAAATCATTGTCATATACTCAGACAGCCAAGCGACGTTAAAGGCACTCAGTTCCAAGCAAGTACACTCAAAGCTTGTGCGGGACTGTTTAGAAGCCCTAACAGACCTGAGTAGTCAAAACAGGGCAATGAAGAGGCTGATTTACTAGTCCGAGAACGAGCCTCAAATGCTCTTATTGGTCCAGAATCCTTCTGTGGTGTAACAGAAACAACTATCAGAACATGCACAAAGTAGTGGATGTTAAAAAAATCTCAGGAGTGGTGAAAAACTCTCCAGGACAGAGACAGGCCAAACAGGACCATCGCCTAAACTCACCGAGCATTTACTAAGTCTTAATAGGAAAAATACTAAAGTACTAGTAGGTCTATTATCAGGGCATTGTAGGCTTAACAAACATATGTATAATATCGGTCTGACAGAAGAGACCTTGTGCCGATTCTGTTAGGAAGAGGAGGAAACAACAGTACACGTATTGTTCTACTGCAAAGGTCTAGCAAGACTGAGATTACTTACACTTGGAGAAGAAAAACCAAGGGCAACTAGCTATACCGGAGGACTATTTCCCAGTCTATGGAGTATACTACAAAAGACCGAATTAGACAAGGTACTCTAAATAATGATTTAAGGATATCCACAATAGATTTGAAAAGGTCGAGGTGGGGGAGGCAACATGGCCCACATTCCTAATTAAATCTAATCTAATCTAGGGACTTCTGTTTTATCACAATCAATATTATCCAATTTAATTTAATCTATTATGAAAGCTACATTCTTTATAATGATTATGCTGTTAAGGCAGTATTGGAAACATGGCAACGAACGTTAAATACTATTGGTCGTGAAACTTTGGAAAAAAATATCGTAGGAAGATGCGTAAAGTTAATAGAGAAAATGGTGACTCATAGCATATTTAAAAAAAAAAAACACATAAAAAGCCAGAAAACTGATTTCTATTCCCTTAAAAGCGGTTAATAAAAATGGAACGTATCAAAAAAGATATGAAAATTTCCTACATCTGTAAAACAAAACAATTTTTAACAGGGAATTGTAAAATCAACCTGTATAATAAAGTTGCCCCGCAATCATCATAACATATTAGAAAAACAAAATAGCTCCTGACATAAATGTCAATTTTACTCACTCCGAAAATAATATGTCGCTCTAAATTCAACGCTACAAATAATTGTGTTATTATTAAATTGCTTAATACCATTTTATTAGCACTACATATTAAAGTTAAAAAAACCTTTAAAAATTTCGTTTTATTGTAATTAATGGTTCTTTGAGCCGGACCTGATAATTCTGATATTTCTGATAATATCTCCAAGTGGACATATTTTGTGAAAAGAGAAACAAAGAGCGCTTAATCAAGGCCTTTTCGAACAGAAGTTGTTTTACTGAGAAATGGGCCATCCAACTGAAAGGGTCTTCAATTGTTTCCTCTTTCCTAAAAACTATGTTTTTTAAAATGAATGTAAATTAAACAATTAAAGAGGTTCCTAGACAATAAGGAGTCCACCTTCGTTATTTTCATAGACATAGTAGGTGGTTTTAATAAAACTACCTTCCCCAAATAATACACTCACTAACCATCAGGAATGTTCTACATATGGTTAGTGGGTAGATACATAACGTGCTCTCAAAACGAGTAGTAAACATAAGTGCAGAAGATGAGAATATAAGAGGCTTGGTTGCGAGGGGACGTCTACAGGGAGAGGTGCTCACTTTAACTGGTCTTCGACACTGACCTCAATATTGACAGTCATCGCATAATAGCGTATTCAGATGACCTAGTCTTTCAGCAAACAGTAAATTTTAAGAACACACTCTGCGAAAGAATACAAGTACCTCTTAAAATTATAGAAGAGTGGCGCAAGGAACATTCAGTACCGTCAATCCCAAAATGGCAGAAATTTTCCTTTTCATAAGAAAAATGATAAAAATTGGATTTAAAGCCCCCAGTCTCCTAAACACAAAACTACACTTTGCAACAAAGATGAAGTACGTAGGTCTCACCTTTGACAGCAAGTTAACCTGGACCTTACATTTAGAAAATAGGGTTAAAAATTCATATTATTATATTGCTTATAAACAATGCCGCCGAACCATGGGACGCTTCTAGGGATTCTCTCCCAGAGCCATCACATGGACTTATATGGCCATAATAAAACTTATGCTAACATACGGTGCAGTTGTCTAGGTACCAAAAACAATCTACAAACTGGAATAAATTCAAAGAAGAACATGTCTCAATATAATAGAAGCCATGAAAACTACACCTCCAAGAGCCATGTAAATAATTTTTAATCTTACTTCCCTTGATATTTACATCAAGGAGGTTGATGATAATTACACGCCTCCGCAAGGTTGGAATAAAACCTAATAAAGTATATGGTGAGGCGAGACGTCGGTTTTGACAGAAAAAGCTCTCATTGCTTCTTACGAAGCCGAGGTGAATCTTTCATAAGCCATATAAAGTTATACTCGGGTTATACCATAACAAATAAAAGAGCCGGAAGAGGCAGGTATGATTCATATAAACACCGAAGGTTCTAAAACAAAACAAGGCTCAGTATATGGAATATACTCAAGATTCCTAAACCTAAACATAAAATGAGCTGTGAGCAATAGCATCAGTTTAGTTTAAACCGATCTCATGGGCAATTTCATAGTTGCAAAAGAAATCAACAAAAAGACTATCACTGAAAAAAAAAAAAAATGCTTACCTAGACAGGTAGCAGACAAACACGACTCACTCTGAATATACCACAAATTTACTTAGAGTTAATACTAGAATGTAACGTAGGCTTTGACAGAAGTATCCATAAACAATGTGGTCACCTTAAGATGAATCAAAGGTCAAGCCTCATCGAAAGGTAACCGTCTTGCTCATTCACTAGCTAAAAAGGCAGATAACCAAATACTTTTTGAAGCTGGACCGTTTATTGGACTGACAACAGTAGTGATAGATCTAATTAAAGAAAATTCCATTGTAAAATTCAAGGAAAAATGGGATGAAACAAGAAACTGTAGAGATATTTTAAGCTATCCTGATAATATTGCAGCAAATACATGAATATAACTAGACAGAAACTTCCATTGATCAGAGGCATTCTGACTGGTCATTGACAAGTACGAAACCAAGTCAATATCGTAGAACTATCAGAATTCTTACTCTGCAGGGTGTGCAAACAAGAAGATGAACCCATTGAATATATCCTCTGCGCTCCTATTTATTATAGATTTGTGTTCAGCGAGTATCGGATAACACCGACCGATATAAGAGAAGCACATCTTGGCGTCGTTATCAACTATATTAAATCTATAGGCTGGCGCATGAGCTAGGAGATGCCTATTATCTTGGGAAGATGCAAAATGGACCTAAGTGCAATGGGGGTAACCCTCCCTCCACACGTTTTAGTTAGATACAGATTAGGTGTGAATTATTTTTTTTATTCAAGTGCATTAATTTAACTCAAGATATAACTCATTGTGTACCAACATACTCAAATCGCTGATGTTTATACTTTAGAATGAGAGTAATGAAGTCATTTTTAGAGGGTAGGAAAATAGGACATTTTTATTCAAAATTTAGATTCCAGTTAAATAATCTGCTTTCTATCGATGCTCTCAAATTTAATAATAGCTGTTTGATATTAAAGATACGAAGAAATTATGAATATAAAAGTTGTACCATATTTTTTAATTATTCTTAAAAATTCAGAATATAAAATTTATTTCAAACATTTTTGGCATGTATAACACAAATTGAACCGTCGATCAATTACACACTACCTAAACGTAATCTTAAAAATAGGTATAAATACATACCTAAACTTTATTCGCGATATAAAATATGTTTGAGTTTCCGCATAATTTAATGCATAGAAAGTTATGTAATACCGTACCTTCAACCACAATGAGCTTTACACTGTCAGGCTTTACCGATGGTTGCATACACGTATATTGTCCGCTATCCAGCGTTGAGACGGCAGACAGACGGATTTTGCTGAATATTCTTTGATCCTTATCCTTATATTCAGTCTCCACTGTAATATTATCCTTCGTGAACTGAAAATAAAAGAACGAAACTTAAAAAAAAAATTTAATTTTTAAAGTAAACGATGGTAAACGTCGATGTAAAAAGAACTCTTATCAAAGAAATCTAAGAGATCTTTAAGTACCTATACAACTTAAGAAAATGAGAACCTTTAAATTCGCGGTTTAAATATACGAGAGTTGGTCAGTATTTCAAGATGTAAATTTTAACATTTCACCAATATACCTCCACTAAGTTTTACCGATATTAAGAAAGAGGTTGAACCAGTATGCCCGAATTTTTAAAATCTGTTGTTCCATTTTTAAAAATGATTGTCCCAATAGTGGGCCAATAAATTTGTACTACTTGAGATTGTGTAATATTTACGGACCAACAAGCAACAAAAGAGCGATACTCTATGAAGGGGATACAACACGTGGCAAAAACGTACATCCAGGAGTGATATTGTAAACGTCAAATCTGAAGAACCAGCGCAAATGCTCAAGTTTGTTTACTTAAAAATCGCAACGCCCATTCACAATTTGAACCTTGTCCTTGCTTACGGTCAGTAGCGTAACGACTAAATCATTTGTTTCTTGTTTCTGTGTTTTGGTTAAAGGGACTGGTTTTATTTTTGATAATGTCTTCTATTGTGGGTGAAAAAAAGCGCAGATCTGTTATTAACAGACAAATCGTAAAGTAAGATACAATGTTTTTAAATATTTTGACGCAACAAAAAAGGAAAGAGTTACTTTATATATCAAACTTCAAACTGCACAAGCAACAGGTAAACATACTCTGTAGTTTATTTGCAATTAAACTTGCGTAGTTTTCCATGTTTTTTTTTGTATTTTACACACACATCTATGTATTTTATTTTTTATTAATATTTTATATTTAAATTTTTAAAATTTATCTTCTGTTTCTAAAAATTTTTGTTTCCTAATAAATGTAAAAAAAATAATAAATTTAATTTCTTGATAGTTTCGGCCTTTACTTGATGAAAATCCATATTATTAAAATGAGAAAAACCAAACATGGTAGACTTTCACACTTTTATTTAAAGAAATAAAAATAAAAAATGCACAATTGTTTCTAAGTAGAACTTCTTCTTTAAATGTGACTCATTTACATTTCTAATATATATACAAAATAAACTAATTAGTTAAAGTAGGTACTTAAGAGAAATATATTAATAAAATTCCAATAAGATATCATTACCGGGATTATCTCACAGAAAACTAAGAACGGTTAAAGAGATTTAAATAAGCTCAGTTATTAATATCTAATTGTTCACTTAAGAGGATATTTGAATTTTTAAATGTATTTATTTCAAGTATTTCTAAATGGTTTAATTTAATGCTTTTATTCTTAAAATGTAAAACAATTTTTGCATAAACAATTGATTTTCAGATAAAAATATGTTTTGTAGAATTATTTTTGTTTTAGTATAACGATTGTAATGTTTTAAATACCTTTTTTTTTTAAAGTACGGCCCGTTTGACCAATATACAATTTTACCACAATTTAATTTATTTGAGTAAGGACAATTTCCTGACCGTAACAGAATTTTATATAAGTACCGAACGGAAAGCGGTAGAACAACCTTAACCTAAAGTCGGCTTACTTAAAAATAATGATTTTTTAATTGACTATAGAATTATGTACTAATAATAACACTGAGAAATATGTATGAACAAGTATCATTCATTATTTTCCATTTATTTTATGTCTTAAAATATACGCGCCCCTGGTTTACCACTTTCTAGATAAGCTACCAATTATATTCATCGGTAGGCGTGTTCGTAGCATTATACATGCGCGTCCTTGGTTCTTTAGATTTGGCGTTTACTGTACCCATTCACCTTGTCTCTACAACAGAAGAAAAAATATCGACTACATTAAAAAAAAAGAAAGAAAACCATCAGAAAGTCCCAAAGGAGTGATACAGGAAAGTAGAAACCGGGCAATGGACTAAAAAATTGATACATAGAACTGAGGAATACTGGGAATGTCAAAACAGAACCACGCACATAGAGATATTTGATTGATTTACGTGGCCAAAGTTATTTTTTGGTTCATATCGATTCTAAACGATATTAATAAATAAAACAAAGGTTTTAATGTTTAATTAACCTATATTTATTAATAAAAAATATAGATATACAATTTTATCTAACATTATTCGTATAAATTTTCATCTTCGCTTTCTAAAGAATTACTAGCTTCAAGCGGCTTTGCAGTAAATTAATTGTTTCTGCCAAAAATGACTTCATTTTTCATCTTTTAACGTTCCTCATGCTACTTAAAAGGGGGTCTGAACTTATAAGCAGGCGGTTACAATTTGCTCTAGAGAATTTTCGTGCGACGTCTTGGCGGTATGAGCGGAAATGCTTGTTACGAGCTTCCACGGCTTCTTCAGACATCTGTCCAATAGGCAACAATGCAGTTTTTAATATAACTGCACCATAAATAAGGATTTTGTGCATCGTTGGTGTCATTAGGTACCAAGGTTACAGCTGCACATATAAGCGAGCAGCATCTAATGCGTATTTCTCATATTTTTCCGGATTAATTATATGTCGGCTCGAAATCGTTTCTATTATGACCTTTAATTTATAAATTAGGTCATAACTATTGTCCGTTGTTTCGGAAGCCACTTTCGGGTCTTCAAAAAATCTTCGGCACGTGTTTCCATCATTTGTGTTGCCAAAATTTGCCTTTGATATATCCACCAATAAACCAGTTACATTGCGAAATCTTTTCTGGATTTCTAGTTTTCTTTCTTTTTCAATATTTTTTTCCGTTTATGTTTTTCTCTCTCTGTATGTTTTCACTGGCAATTTATAAGACAAGTGAAGAATGCTTTCAAAAAACGAAACCTTGCATGTAGAACTGAAAGCCCAAACACTGTAGCTTCATGATTAATTTGGTTTTTAAAATCTAATTGGTTAAAGTCCTTAGAGGTTGCACCACATATCTAACATCGGCTTGTCGATTTTGTACCAGTGGCAGCATTACAGACCTTTCCGTCTACCATTGTCTTAATGAACACATGTTTAACTAAAAATTGTGTTCCATTTAAGTCCACCTCTGTTTCGTTAAGCGACTTTTTCATAAAAGTTATTTCTTCTTTCGTTATGTTAGTAGTCTCTTTAACGAATTGGAAACTTATAGGTCGACAATACCGTGAAGAAGAGGTACTTTTTTTTTCATTTTACCACAAACCAATCGTAGAGGAACAAAACAGCTCTGAAATATGTTCGCGTCTGAGTCAGTATCATTTTCAAATTTTTGTTTGAACTGAGATTGCTGAGATCCATCGCAACCCCTTTTACAAATTATCTTCAGGTTATCTCGTTCTTGTTCTTTCAATGATATCAGGACCTCTTCTAGGAATATTGACAAACGTATAACTGTAAGGTCAACTTGTCTGTAAATCGATTATTGTTTGTTATTTTAATAAAATCCGTAATCATAACTAGGAGAAAAACCAAAAATCTAACAATGGGGGTCAAAGCAATTAATGGGATTAAATTACTGCGAATAAGAATGTGTTACCATTACTGTAATTATCTAACATAATAATAAGAACCACTTAAAATATTAAGTAAAGGTGAATTATTGATTTAAAATTGATCATTATATTCATCTACATTTTAACAATAATGGTTAAAATAATTAAATGGTTAATGAGTTTAAATTAGTGTAATGTTTTACCATTAATGGGATTATCGCACAGAAATTGAAAGGTGATTTATTGATTTCTAATGGGTTATTAGCAGATAATCTAAAATCTATATTCATTTCAAGTGTTTGTAGATATTGCCTTATTTTCTATATGTAATACTATAAATTATCATTCAAAGACTGGTTTTCAGTAAAAATATGTTTGGCAAGTGTATTTATCTTTATTTTCAATATAACTATTTTATTGTACGAAACACTTGGGAACCATATAAAAACTAAAGGCAAAATTAATTGTATCAAATTAAATATTGGTGGTTATCAAAATATGTATATTGGTCAAAAAGCGTCATCCGAGACGTCATCTGAACATCATAATAATTATAATAACTTAACGTTTGCCAATCATATTTGAGCTAAAAACTACTCTTTTAGCGATAATTTTGAAAGTTTACATATAGAAAATAAGGGCACTAAAGTAAAAATTTCAAATAAATAATTTTAAAAAATTTTGCTTATTTGTTAAATTAAAAATCCATAGTTCACCTTCTTTTTGTAAAAAGCTACCATATTTTGTAATAGACTAAGTAATAGATGTTTTCGACAAAAACAAATGCGAAATGCTGAAAAAGTACTTATCCGCGATTTTCCGCAGCAAAATTTTTGATTTCTTACTACTCAAAGCTCTAATCTTTTGTATGTAATAAGAATTTTAACAGAATATACCTTTTTCCTACGACCACTTAGGAAAGTGACACATATCACACTATATAGACCTATGGAAAGTGCCCTATATCACACGCGTATGAATAAGAATTTACTTTCCACCCAAGTGAGAATATGCTACTTTCCGCAGTAGCTGTCAGAAAATGTCAAACACATAATTTCTATTTTGATCTATGTAATGTCCATATTAATACTAAAATCGATATAATTGTTAAATTATTGTAAATTAGATCCTAGATATTTATCTTTAACAATTATTTTTAAAATAATTTTAAAATAACTAAGATATATTTGCTTTTTATTCTGGTTAAACACATAAGCGATTAGATCAATCAATTACCGTAAGGCCTGTTAGCTCAGTTGGTTAGAGCATCAACTTTGCAATTTGAGACCGTCCAACGACCGCGATCGAATCCTGGCTGTGCCAGAATTTTTTTTTTATTTTTTTTTTATTTTTTTTTATTTGTTTAGAAATTATGAAAATTTAATAAATACGATTATTGTTGATTATTTTTTTAAATACATTTTAATTATTATAATAATCTGGTTTTATATTTTTTGATGAAATTATTTTGTGGTCGTAGGAAAAATATTGTACATCACTTGTGTGAAAAGTGATTTTCCACACTCGTGTGATAGTCGCACTCGGCTTACGCCTCGTGCGACAATATTTCCCACTCGTGTGAAAAATGTCACTTTCCACACTCGTAATGTAAAATACTATATCGTATAACTAATTCTTTATTGAAGTCAAATCATTGGTCAAAAATATTATACTATATTACTTGTAACTTTCAATACACTAAATGTGTTTGTTTCGTCCCCGTCTTTGTGTAATATTATCTTATTTCAACTAAAAATTCAAATTGAATTAATCAATTTTTTTTAATAAATACACAAATTTTTATTTATTTCTAAACTTTCATGATACTAAAGTACACCTAAGCCAAAGGACCGCCGCGCAGTTTGTCTGCTAATTTGTCTGCTAGCTTCATCCTCGTGCTTAGACTCAAGTACTATTGCCAAACGGTTTCCACTCTATCACACAAAATATAATTTATAATAGTAGGAAAATTATTATTCAAAACTTTTTAGTTTCAAGTATCTAAACTTTCTAAATCGTATTTTAAGTAGAAGGTATTATGATCCAGGTAGCAGGGGCGGTTTCTCTATTAGTTAATTTGTACAGTAAACACCCAGTTACATTTCATAAAAACACTATTTTGAAATAAATAACGGTGCTCTTGCTCTTGGTGTGTTGTTTGTTTTTTTTTTTTTCTATTAACTTCTTTACCAGCTTTACCTACTTTAAGAGCTTCCTCTTTTATTGATTTTTCCTCTAAGTGATTTTCTATATCCTATTTATTAGATTTAAAGATTGTCTTAAGTTATTCTGCAAAAAATCCACTTGTTTGCTACCTTCAACCCATCCTTCTTCTTCTTATAAAAATGGTCCTTAATAAATTATGAGACTTTAAGAAGAAAAATATATGGAAAAGGCATTTTCGGTTTTCCCGTCAAATTTTCTTACGTAAGAGAAAATATGGATTTAGTGAGATTATTTAACATAAAGGAGACACAAATTTCGTTGAACTTTGACAAGGATAAGGACTGAATATTGAAGTAAGTTGTAAACTCTTTTAACTGGTTAAATTTTGATGTATTACGTTCGTAAAGTAGAGATCAAAGAGTTGGAGTTTTTAACAGCCTAACGAATTTATTAAGTTTATTGAACCTAATTAATAATGTGTAATAAAGCTTTTGAGCAGTGCCTGCTAGGGCTTTAACGTATATTTTAGGTTTACATAATACTAATGGCCCCTCTAATTTGTTTTCTATACTAATTACTTGTTAAATACTTATCAATGTTATTTTGAGAGGTATTGGTATCAAACATGGATCATAATTGAAGGGTATAGGGAGAAACATGAATTTATGACCGCGATTTTGAGTATAATAAGAGAATTCATTCCTATAAATTCATTAGAATCTTAAGAGTCTTTGAACCAGCTAAACCCAATGAGCGTCGCAAGCTACACTGGATTTAAATAAATGTGTATGGAGCAATAAAGATAAATGTCCAAACATTCCAGTGATTTATTTATTTACGGACAAGCCCATTTGAGAAATAAATTACAATTTTAAATTATAATTAAAATGTAGTGAAATATATATGGTGCTGAAATACAAACGTGGTATAATTCAGTACTAAGTAATTGCTTTATAAATTTATGAAAGGGGGTGTTAAATATCTCAAGATCGTTATGAGTGTTGGCTAATCTTAACATTCTTGGAATACAGCTGACAAAAGTTTGGTTTAAAGGTACATGTTTGTTGCTGTCGAGTTGAGCGGGTTGGAACATAAAGATTTATTTTTGTTAGAAGTTCAGTACAGCTGTATCTGCCATTGATAATTTTGAAAAGTAATGCCAGGTCTCTCTGTTTCCTCCTAGTTTCCAAAGAGGGGATGTTTAGAAAATTCTCTATCAAACAATACTCGCAAAGGACACTCAATTTATAAGCTATGTATCTAAGAAATTTATGCTGCACATTTTCTATGTTTCTGCTGTGTATTATGTAATGTGGAGACCAGACAGAAGAGCAATAATCTAGGTGACGTCGAACTAGTGAACAGTAAAGGATTTTAATTGCATTTGTGTCGGTAAAATCATGTGTTAGCCTTTTGATGAAATCTAACATTTTTATGGATTTATAAATACCCTTTGGTATGTGTTGTTTAAAGCTTAAAGTGGGATCTTAAAACTCCAAGGTCTTTAATGTGATTAATAGACTCCAAGATATGACCATTTAAGTTATAATCAAAAGTAGTAGTTGGTGGGGATCACGTGTACAGAACATACGCATTTTGTATTGAGTGCATTGTATGAGTGGTAAGAGTCATAACTTTGAGATCTATAGCTCTTAGGATCGAGTCGCAGCGGTGCGTTGCAGGAATTTTTATTTATTGAAGAAAAAATTAAATATTTATTCTAATGCATAGGATTCCCAACTCGACCATTCATTGTTGAATTTTATTAACCAGTGCTGTTGCTAAAGTGGCGCTGGAAAACAGTAACAAAGCTTACACAAACCACACATGAATAAGAAGACAAACACAAAATGACACTGGTATATTAGGCCATAAAACGAAAAAAAAAACGCTTCTTGTTGTAGATGTTATTTATTACAGCGTTTCTCAACCTTTTAGTATTCGGGGCCCAATTTTCAATAACAACTTTTATGGCGCCACCTACTTTTCTTTTTCATATAATATTAAAATACGACGTATACTATGCGTTGAAAATTTTAACCCTAATCCCCTTAGTGCAGCGTGTTATTAGTATCCTAGGCCCTAGACTCTAGGCCTAGAGCCCTAATATAGAACCTAGTTAGAGATATTCAAAATTACTGAGAATAGGTAAATTTATTGTAACTAGGTAATGCCGCTCCGCTACCTCCCATACTCTTCTCAAGGTGTTAATAGAGTTTAGTGTAATGGATGTTACTATGGAGAAAATGCATCGAACCGATCCAATGTTCTACTCCTTTTTTGCGACATGATGAGCCCTCCTTCAAGTATTTGATTTCATTCTCCAAAAGCCGTTTGAATTCTAAAATGATTCTCTTTTAGCGAAGATACTGCATTTGTTTTTTTGATTAGGTCTAGTTTTTTTAAAGTCGCGAGGAAGTACAATACTTACAGCCGTATGCATAGTCGATCGCCAGCGACTCGCCAGAGATTCATTTTGGCGTATCGCCAGCGATTCGCTGGCGATCCGCCGGCGAAAGCCCAAAAAGCTGGCGACTCGCCGAAAATTGTCACCGGAATGTCATTTCACGCAAGTTTTCATGTTCTTTTATAGGGAAAAATTTGATATTCGTTCATTATTTTTTGAGTTTTAAGAAATGAATCATGAATAAAATGCGAGAGATACCGGTGATAATCCCTATAAAAGAAAATAAAAACTTGCGTGAAATGACATTCCGGTGACAATTTCCGGCGAGTCGCCACCTTCTTGGGCTTTCGCCGGCGGATCGCCAGCGAATCGCTGGCGAATCTCTGGCGAGTCGCTGGCGATCGACTATGCATACGGCTGATAGTGTTATTGTGGTTAAGAATTTTTTTGTATTTTTAAATTTATTATTGAAAGGGACTCTTCAAGCGCATCTGGTGGAACAAATTTTTGTCTTAACTGAATGTCAATTTTAACCTTCGACGTGACGGTGCATATGCACCTTTGTAGAGAGAGGGAAGCTGTCCATAAAACGAGGCGATGAGTGTAGAAATAGTATAGAAAGGAAATTATATACATCAAAAGTGAAACCATAACGCTCCTTTTACACATAACGATTTTGGTAGTATACCACATTTTATCCCACAACACCACAGGTCTACTTTCGACCAGTGAGATCGAAAATTCACCGTCAATATTTTCAGCCATTTCGCTAATAAACTAATTACGTGCCAATAAATCTACCCTATACGATAGATATTTACGACCAAAATTATTAATGTGTGAAAGAATTTATTCGATGAAACTGTATTGGATGGAAGTTAAACGACAACAACGCTACAATATGTCGTTGTCATCCTGTATGAAAGGTTTCGTATATTTCTTCAAAAAACTCAAAAATAAAAAACACATAGAAATAAACAATTCAGACCCGGACTTGTTGATGAAACAATCAGTATATTTACGTTTTTATATGTATATTTTTCTTTTCGGTTTTTCTTAAGTTTCAGGATTCAATTTTTTACCAGTTATTGTAATCCTGTCAAGAGTATTTTCAGTATGGTGTTTATATTAATTGTATATTGTTTATTATGGTAAATTGAAAATAAAAGGCAATAAAGAAAAACATATTTTAAAGATTATCAAGGAATATTTAACAAGTTCGCGGGTGATCAGGTGGAAGTAAGTAAAATAAGAGATTGAACAACATTGCAGAAGTCAGTTGTATTCCTTTCACGTTCAATGTGTTTAAGCCCTACAACTTAAAGATCTCCCTGGTAGAATTCAGTTTTGTGAATTGTTCTTACAACAACATTTCTCAGCGAAAGTTCTAGACATTACTTTGGTCAGAGACGATACATTTGGAAATAAATTAATTTGTTTGATATTTTTGAATTTTTTTGAATAAGTTATATGAAAAAATTGTTTATTCTAACGACTTTAATACACAGTTTTAAGAAAGTATCAACTCAAAATTCACCCTGTCTTCTTAAAACTCAGCTAAAAACCATGTAATTCTACTCTACACCATAAACCGAAAAAATTTTTACGTTCGCAAGACAGATCATCCAATAAACTTACCTCAAAAGACAGTTCTTCACCATTATGTAACCACCTAACTAGAGGTTTCGCTGTGCTGGTAAAGAACAGACGATGCACTCCGGATTGCAGCGAAAGGGGTGATATTTCACAAGAAAGAGTCACAGGGGACCCGTTTTGAACGTAAACCGTGCTCGGGCCTTTTATTAGGGCTTGACTGACCCACTTCGAATTGGACATTTCTTCCTGAGAGTTACGATAACCTGAAACTAACGGGAGAACGATTATTAAAAATTTTAAAAAGGAGCATTTTTCTTTAGTTTAAAAAAGAAATTTTTTGTACCGGAAAATCAGTAAAAAGTTCGTTACAGCTTAGAAAAATGAGACATCTTTAACAAGCCCTATATAATTAAAATATCCATAGTGCAATTTCTATAAGCTTGCTTCAATTTGACTTTAAGTTAGATATACGGGGTTCCCATTTTGGGTTCTTTGGCTGGGTATCTCCGTTATTTTTAAGGATAGAGGGTTGCAATTTTGTTAATTTTTTGTATAACTAAAGATGCTGTTAAATCAAGTTTTATAGCCCTTTTAGTTTTTAAGATACAGGGTATTTTTGAATATGTTGCATTTTTGGACCCCCTCTTATCTCCGTTATTCTTCAACTTATCGTTAAGGTAAAATAACATTTTTTTCATTGAATCGCTGTCGTTATACAAATTACCTCTTTGTATGAATTTTACAAAACAGAGCAAAACAACATACAACAAACAAAATCAAAATCTATCATATATTATATCAACCGTTATCGAATCATATGCCTCTGATTGATTCAAAGATTTGAGCTTTGCTGTAAAAGATTTTTTACGTGACGTCATAGTTGCACCGCTAAAATTTAGACGGTTTAAAAAGTCAAAAATATTTTATATCAATCATTCGTTAGAAAATACCACAAGATAAAACAATTTAAATTCATACATTATGAGAGCCAGGGGCGGTTTCTCCATTGGTTTATTTGTGCAGTAAACATCCAATTAAATTTAATAAAACCACATTATTTTAGTATTACATCAATAACATAAAAATATAAATTTAATTTTAGTAATTTTATTTTCATACGTGTTATTCTATATTTTTTAGTACATCATTGTCCTCTGACTAATCGCGTCTCTGTGGCACTGTATACCTGTATACTGTGTCTGTGGCGTATTATGATGAATAACACGAGTGAGATAATTTGGCGAATATATATAGCTAAAAAATAAGACAACACGCCAACAGATCGTTCAAAATGCCAAATAATACACTTAATTGGTGCGCCGCTCACAAGCAAGGTTGCCAAACCAGTGTTGCCAGTCTAGTATAATTCACAATTGTACTACATATTCTGGCAACACTGTATCAAATCAAACAAACTGTCATTCCATCTTTCGTCATTCCTCTACTATGAAACGCTTTTAATAAAATTAATATTATTTTATTTGTGATCAGTTAAAAAAATGTGTTTAATTGAGAACTGCAACTTTAATAAATTGGAAGGATGTGTGTCAATTTAACGATTGTTCCTGAAAAACTTCTTTAAGGCAAGATAAATAAAACTTTTTAAGGTTGTGTTATTTATTTACCTATAATAAAGTTTAACAACTGTAATTTTTTTATTATTTTGTTTCAGTGTCGAAGACCATCCAAAAATTACTTCAAAATGATCTATTTTGTACCCATTTGTAAATACAATGAAGAAAGAAGTAAAAAACAAATTTGTAATTTTTTTTTCCACAAAATATGCTAAAAGAAAAAATTTGATTATTCTGATAAGGTAACTACTTGACATTATTATGGAAATGGAAATGTACAATAAAAATTTGATAAATATAAAGAGAAAAATGGTTTTTCACTTTAAACGTCTGAATTACCTATATAAAGTTATGTTTGCCTATAATTATCAATCGTGTTTCCCTCTAACCTAGATCGTCTGTTGCATACAAACCAGAAATCTTTAATTTAAATGACATGTTTTATTGTCTTGTTTGTATAATTTGGTATTTTTAAAAATATTAGATATTATGGTAATTTGGATCACTGCAGCTATTAAATAAAAATAAGGCAGTTGGTAAATTAGTTTACAGTTGGTAATAAAGTATGTCTCGAAAAAAGCAATGAATATCAAACATAAATTGTGATTTTAATTAGGCACTTAACAAGTCACATTGCACATATCTACATGCTCCGGTTAATCAATCTTATACGTACATATCAAAACATTAATATAGGTACTATCTACAATTAAACAATAATTTGAAAATACAGATGAAGCCAATTTACCTATTTAGACAAAATACAATTATTCTGTTATTTATTCAAACACATTATTTTTTTAAACGAAAATAAACCAAAACTCAAATGTGATAGATGTAAAATGAAATAAAATGAATTTAGCTCAAAGCCAGAATATCACATAAAATACAACGACCGTTTCCCCTTCAAAAAAACAACTACTCCTTTGGCTAATACCACAACAGGCATTGAATCACATCCGAAGGAAGAACAGCAGAGATAGAAATTAATTTTCAACACTCTCTACTTTCATTTTGCTCACCAAGGACAACATCATTCTTGGACCGGTTTCGTCCTTATTAGGACTCCTCAGCAAGAAATAGATAGGTTCTCAATTCCAGTCTCTAATGGAATTAACAAATGCTATACATTTCACCAGTATACCATAAAGTTGGTTATGAAGGGAATAAAAATTCAAGTAGTGAATATGGTGTCGCCATCTGTTCTTAGTAAGCAAAATCAAAATGCGCTGTGGTACCCAGTTAGAAAACTAGGTGGAACCAAAAAGTACCAAGCAGGCAATTTTTAAACGAAAATGAACCAAAACTCAAAGGTGATAGATGTAAAATGAAATAAAATGAATTTAGCTCAAAGCTAGAATATCACATAAAATACAACGACCGTTTCCCCTTTGGCTAATACCACAACAGGCATTGAATGTTGAAAATTAATTTCTATCTCTGCTGTTTTTCCTTCGGATGTAATTCAATGCCTGTTGTGGTATTAGCCAAAGGAGTAGTTTTTTTTTTTAAGGAGAAACGGTCATTGTATTTTATGTGATATTCTGGCTTTAAGCTAAATTCATTTTATTTCACATTATTTTTTAGTGAACATGGACATGCAAAAGTCTGCCATTAGGGTAGGACAGAGCAAGAGCAAGAATAATTTGGAATGTGCTGAGAAATACACTTAAAAAGGGTTATATTATGGAGAATTAAGGGTGATAACATTTTACGATGTGTATCTCACTATTTTAGTTCACAGATTTTTGTAAATGTTTAATTATATGCTGCTATTTTAAACTTTTAGTATCCTTTGATAAAAGAAAATGAATATTATTGTTGACCTTTTTAAATTGTTTATTTTACCTTATACATTTTTTTTTCTACTCTTCATCCAGTATTCTGTGAAGAGTATTATAGGTTTACTTTGTCTGTCTGTCCGATGTCACGTTTTTTGTATGCACGATAAGTCAAAAACGAGAAATGATATTAACTTGAAAATTTTAAGCAAAAATCGAGCTCTATAAGGGGACAAAGCCTATTGATTTTTAACAAATCTGATTAAAAATAGGGGGTTAAGATAGGTTGAAATTAAAAAAATATCCCAAATTAAAAACGAAAAGCGATATCAACATGAAATTTTTAGTAAAAATGAAGCTTTATAAGAAGATAAAGCCCATTGATATTGAAAAAAAAATATGAATATATTGGGGAGTTAAAATATAAAAAAAAAATTCTGACTGAAAAACGAAAAATGATATCAACTTGAAATGTTTAGCAACCATAAAGATCTATAAGGAAAAGAAGCCCTTTAATTATAAAAAAAAATCTGAATAAATATGGGAGATTTAAATGGGGTTGAATTAAAAAAAAAATCAAAAATGAAAAGTGACATCAACATGAAATTTTTAGTAAAAATCCAGCTCTATAAGGAGATGAGGCCTATTGATTGTGAAAACAATCAAGTTGAAAATGGGGGTTAAGGGGGTCTGTTAAACTGCAAAGAGTATCATTTAGAATGCCAAGCATTATATATCTTTATTCTAGTTTGTATTTGTGTAATATTATGTATTGTGATGGGACTCATCTTATAAAATAAATATTTAAAACATTTTAGTTCTTATTTTATTTGCCAATAAAAGGTATTTAAAAAATATATATTTTATTTAACATCTCCGACATATTGTGAAAATGATTAAACTCACAATAAAAACTGAAAAATGGTAGTTAAAGTTATATTTTTTAAACAAAAATCAATGTCAAGCTTTCTACATAACCTGATATATAGTTAAAAATAATCTATTTTCCTAACTAATAATATTTATAGATGGTTTTCAACGTATTAAAAATAAAACAAATATTAAAATATTACACTAAATAAAATATTCATTTATTAATAGTTTTAGTGCTTGAAAACAATATGATGTTAATAATAATAATAACAAATTATAAATAATACAAACACAAATAATAATAAAAATAGCGATATTGGCTGTTGTACAAAGTTTTGAACCAAACTTACAAATGATAAGATTATTGGTAAAAATGAACACCCTCTTTAAAGTACCCTGAGAAGCTACTGATGAGAGCACAGACAACTGTGTGAATAGATACTCATGAATAATTATTCAAAACAACGTTTACCTTACTGCTTTATTATTGTCCTATCATAAAGTAAGTCAGAGACCACCCAATCTCCATATTTATGGATTCAGAAAAAATGAAAACATAAATACAGGGCGATCCATTTAAAATTTATTTTGGTAAAATCATATCTTGATAGATGAGAGATGACGAAAATCCCTACGCGTTATTAAATAGTGCATAAAATATACAAAAAAAAATTGTTGGAGTTAATTTTCAGTGCAATCCATAATTAAGCCATAAATCTGGTGCCATGCCAATTTTGCACAATCTTATATAGTGGCCACACACCCACCCTCAATTAGGGTTAAGACACGCAAAGCTTTCTAGATCCATATTTGAATCATAAGAATATTTTAAATGATTCTATCAACGATCTTCCATCATTTGTTCTTGTGCTGCGTTCTTTCTTTATAGATTATAACATTTGCTGAATGTAGATCATATTTCAAATCTTGCATGGCCTTTAATCTAAGTCTTCCATATATCTTTCCTTTTCCTGAGCCACATTAATTACTAGTTATGTATTCGTATTTTGTTACTATTATTTGTATGGTATTTTTATTAAA